GTTACCCCTCACTGGTTACTAGTATCTCTCACAGTGGTTCCTGTTACCCCTCACTGGTTACTAGTATCTCTCACAGTGGTTCCTGTTACCCCTCATTTGTTACTAGTATCTCTCACAGTTGTTCCTGTTACCCCTCACTGGTTACTAGTATCTCTCACAGTGGTTCCTGTTACCCCTCATTTGTTACTAGTATCTCTCACAGTTGTTCCTGTTACCCCTCACTGGTTACTAGTATCTCTCACAGTGGTTCCTGTTACCCCTCATTTGTTACTAGTATCTCTCACAGTTGTTCCTGTTACCCCTCACTGGTTACTAGTATCTCTCACAGTGGTTCCTGTTACCCCTCATTTGTTACTAGTATCTCTCACAGTTGTTCCTGTTACCCCTCATTTGTTACTAGTATCTCTCACAGTGGTTCCTGTTACCACTCGCTGGTTACTAGTATCTCTCACAGTGGTTCCTGTTACCACTCGCTGGTTACTAGTATCTCTCACAATGGTTCCTGTTAGCCCTCACTGGTTACTAGTATCTCTCACAGTGGTTCCTGTTACCCCTCACTGGTTACTAGTATCTCTCACAATGGTTCCTGTTACCACTCGCTGGTTCATTATATAACCCCCTTCAGAATTTCATAATACCTCTGGTTTCAATTACCTCTCATCGGTTCCTATTACTCTTCACTGGTTCCTATTACCCCTCATTGGTTCCTATTACTCCTCAATGGTTCCTATAACCCCCTCATTGGTTCCTATTACTCCTCACTGGTTCCTATTACCCCTCATTGGTTCCTATAACCCCTCACTGGTTCCTATAACCCATCACTGGTTCCTATTACCCCTCACTGGTTCCTATAACCCATCACTGGTTCCTATTACCCCTCATTGGTTCCTATTACCCCTCACTGGTTCCTATTATCCCTCCTTGGTTCCTATTACCCCTCATTGGTTCCTATTACCCCTCACTGGTTCCTATAACCCATCACTGGTTCCTATTACCCCTCACTGGTTCCTATAACCCATCACTGGTTCCTATTACCCCTCACTGGTTCCTTTTACCTTTCACTGGTTCCTATTACCCCTCATTGGTTCCTATAACCCCTCACTGGTTCCTATTACCCCTCATTGATTCTTATTACCCCTCATTGGTTCATATTACCCCTCATTGGTTCATATTACCCCTCATTGGTTCATGTTACCCCTCATTGGTTCCTATAACCCCTCACTGGTTCCTATAACCCCTCACTGGTTCCTATTACCCCTCATTGATTCTTATTACCCCTCATTGGTTCCTATTACCCTTCATTGGTTCCTATAACCCCTCACTGGTTCCTATTACCCCTCACTGGTTCCTATTACCCCTCACTGGTTCCTATTACTTCTCATTGGTTCCTATGATCCCTCATATCCCTTATATGATCCTTTCAGTATTTCATATATCTGTTAAAGCTTATATATTAAAGACATCGATATTGGAAGTCTAATTTTTTGATTTTTAAAATCCTGAGACTGGCAGAAAAAATAAATTGGTTGTTGACCATAACTTGAACTTTCCCTTATCAAGATCTATACATATGAAAGAAAGAAGTAATCCAATGTCTAGAATTCCTGTAGATTTTAGAGTCTAAGCTTAGGTCATTTGTTTGGTCTGAGCTCTTAATGGTTTGATAGGAAACGAACCTCCAAGATTATAGCAACTGACCCATTCCTACACTGACTGTATGGTAACAGTGTTCTAAGACTATTAACTAAGGATAAGAATTCATCCAATATAGGAAACATGATAAAAACCTAATTTGTCATGAAAGAGTTGAAGGAGTACATGGCAAACAGGCGACCTGTATGATAAACACTGGTATTTATAGGCTCTCTGCACTCAGCAAAGATTGCTTACAAAGAGATTTCATTGTTAATCTTTGTATGATGTTAACAATCCTGAGTGTAGTAAAACCTCCTTGATATCATCAGACAATTGAAAAAATCCAATGTAAGTTTCATTAAAATGCATTTTTATTGGTTTTATTTAGTTTGAATATTTTTAGTCCAAGGTCATATTTTCTGACACCTACTGTAACCAGTCACAAATAGCAAAGACAAATATCTGTAAAATTTTTTATTTTGTTAACAATGAGAGTTGCTCATCACAGAACATAAATGTTGACTCTTTCCATCATTGTTAATCAAAATTTTAAATGTATATGACATTACATTATATGAACATCTGATATAGTGTTACTTTACCTTTTAAAATGCAGGTTGCTCAGGTCATTTTCTAAAATTTTGACAATGTTGTGACTTATTTCTTAGGAATTAGTTGCTTCAAGCTTTCAAGCTTTGTTACTGAGGAACTAATTAAATAAGAATTCTAATTGGAGATATCCCATAGAAGTACAACTGGGACTTGGAATGATGACACATAGATAAAATAATATATATCAATAAAGAGTTTCAAAATTTTCTCATTAGCAAATGTATTGTAGTTAATTATCGGATTGGTTTTAGATATTACACTTTTTATGGTGTAATTCTAAATTCATCAATACATTCTGAAATCATTTACATACAAATTTATGCAAAGGTTGGAATTCTCAGTTGTTTCTCTGAGTCACATCAACAGCCCTGTGCTTATCAGCTGTACCTAGGTTGATAAAAGCCGGGGTAAACACATCTGTCTCTGTCAACAAGACTCTGGAGGACTAGTTTTAACATCAGCTTCTAAGGACCCAGGTTATATATTCATAATCAATTTAACTAACACTGGTCTGAGTTTTAGAAATTCAGATTATTTTGATCGTCCCTTAAAATGTCAGATGTTTTTAAATACTACAAAAGATCATGACAGTGGCATTTGAATCTTGCTGCTACTTTTATATCAAAATCACTTCATTTCAAAATGATGACTAAACGGTTTAAGGCTATGTAGTCATACACAGCCACAACTAAAAGATATTGTTTTTGTCTATTCAGCTGAAATTTTTGTAGGGTTAAATCATTGTCTAAGAATAGAACAAACCATGCTCCAAAGTCAAGGTCAAACTCACCTGTCAAAATCCCATCCCTCTACATTTCACTATGTTCAGGTATGAAAGGAAAAGATCAACCCTGCTGGCCCAATGCAGTCAGGGACAGAGGAGTAAACACCATTTATAACTATTGTTATTACCTGCCACACGGATTCATTAACACATACAAAACACAAATTAGTTTTACTTCTATCCAAAAGCAAATCTTGTATTGAAATCTAAAATCTTTGTTATTGCAGAAATGTTTAGCTGCAATAAGTGCAACATATTTCTTTCTCTGACACACATGCTTGGTGAACACTGAAAAGTAAATCTGTGTATTTTGATTTATTTTTTGTTTTCATTTTCTTGATAAACTAGTTGTATCACTTTTATGTTAAATTTACCTAGCTTACTGAATAATTATCAAACATTGTATACATAATCATAACCCATATTATCTGTGCCTGATTCAGTAAACAGTGATAGATATTTTGTAAAGAGCATAATTTTCAATAATTCAGTTGTCTACCCAATTGTATCAATTTTTCTGACACGTTAATTTTTAGGGAAACAGAAAAAAAACACTAGATATATAGCCATGAAGTGTTTAAATTGTTCCTGCATGATAGAAGACAAGTGCCATAGTCATATGTAAAGTGTAGAAATGTAAGGGGAGATATAATTGAAATATCATTTGTCCACCCCATCTCTGTTCTTACATGATGTATTGAGTTCTGTAAGGTCAAACTCAAGTTCATATTACAGTGTTTTGATCATCTTCAAAAATGGTTGCTAGCATACTTTCCTGAAAGTCAAATGCCAACGTCACTTAATTGAACCATGAAAAAGGAAAGGGGTTTCCTCTAAATATCCATTTGTTGGACAGATCAAATTTCATACTGTGAAAAAGTACCAAAAGTACTTGTATAGAACTAAATGTTAAAGTTGTAAGGTCATAGATCAAGGTCACTCTCCCTATGAATAGAAGATTGATTTCCTAAGGATGTCTCCAGTTCTGAGGTCCACTTGAACAACAGGATTTCATGTGTAGGAAAGAATTATGTTCAGGTGTCCTTCTTTTAATAGTTGATCTTAATTTGAAATATTTGATAAAGGTGACTTGTTTGGGGTTGATTGTGTGTGATTTAATTGTATTGGTGTAGATGTAGCACAGAATCCAGATATGTCTCTCATCAGCCCCACCAGTAGTCTATTGTTCTAGTTGGTCAGGTGACAAAACACATTTGGCTGTGTAACAAACAGTCTGGATGACCTTTGTGTCTTCAAGGGAAAATAGTGTGACCTGGATACACCATTGGTGTCTTTTTTGTAAATGTTGTCCTAAAATTGTTGAATTGTTTTAAAAATGTTCCTGGTAAGGCATGGTGCACACAGACTGTTTCAATGTAAACAAATAGCAAACCCAGGAAAGATATGGTGCATACAGACTGTTTCAATCTAAACCTAACATCAATACAATAACTTTTCTACAGAGACACATTTAGATTAGTGACTACGATAATGAATTAGATTTAAAAGCCATCAAAGTTAATTCTTTGAAGAGTATGTAACAAAACTCAAATAATTTCCAGACTTCAATGAGTTTCTGATATACAACATATACCATTAGAATGTTCAAGCTGTGGAATTTAATCTTTTATCATCAAATAAAATGTTGAAGTCCTTGCAAAGCTCGCTGCATTTTTGCTAGTAAAATGATATTAAAATGTTGATAGTTCTATTACCAGACACCATAAGGTGCTGAAGTGTAATTTCAACATCAACATCATGTAGGATAGGATTAAACATTCACGGTCAAGGAAATTAAACTGTCATGAAGACCCTCCAAACTGCTCCAATTGTCTGTCTGAGAGGGTAGTACCAGAGTTAACTTAATAGTGCCATCTTGAGAACATTTCTGCTTTGACTAGGCATAATTTCTGCAATCTCTTTTTCAGAAATTATAAATGTTATCATTGCTTTTTTAATTTTATTTCAGACATCCAAAATGGTTTCAAGATGGAAACCCCAAATAAGGAGCTTTACTGTTGTACTTCATGTGAAGAGGATAAGTTTAATTGGATCACATTGCTGGAACAATCCATTCGCACTGCCCTCGAGGGATGAACAGGTCTTGGAACACTAAACACAAGCACCAGGCTATGATACTGCCAACCCTTTCTGTCATAAGACCTGCCCTAGCTACAATCACACTTTAATTGGGGTACATTTGACATTTGTGTGTATATATATAACTTGGTCTGTGATGTTTTTTTTATTTTTTTAATAAGGAAAGTTATCTATTTCTCTGAATGATGGAATTTTAAAATGTAAGGGTCAGAGGTCAGTCAATCAAGCGCCAAACTGTTATTTTGGATTTATATAATTGACATGTTGTTGTTGATCTCTAAAATCATTTGTCATTGACTATTCAACTGTGATATAGAAAGTGAAGGTTTGATGGTCCTAAGATTTATATACATGTGTTAGGTATTTAAGGGATTAGTATTGGATATGTTGAGGTATTAGGAGCAGTTTATGGAGCTTTATTCTGTCATTAAAGCATTTCAAATATTTGTTAGGATATTACGTTTTCCTTTTATTCATCAGAAATGTTGTGATGATGTACGAATCTCCAAATGAACATGTTAATCAATACCCAAAGGTTTTTTTGTTAAGTTTTATGTGCACATTTTGTCTGTGTGTTGTAATCATTATTTCTTTGATTATGAAATGTTAAAAGAATTCCAAAATACTAATTTCAGTTTATTTAAATATCTGTTGATTTCCTAGAGATTTCAGCATATTTGATACTGTTTATAATGTTTATTGAAACTTTCTATAAAGACCACCAGTTATACAGACAGCAAAGAGTGATTTACAGCTATAATTAGAGATTTTTTATACCTATGTGCTTTGAAATCATTGAGTTTTAGTACAAAACTTTTATATCCTACTGTAACAAATGCTTTCTTTTTCATCATAAGTTTAGACTTACCTGTACCTGATTTACGAGCCCGGTTATTATTTATATCTCGTGTCTTTCACCCTTCATACTTGTCTTTATCTCTACCTACCAGTTATTTATAATCCAGTCATTATAAATATCTGGTGTCTTTCACCCTCATATTTGGTGCTTGTTATTTCCCCTGTTACTGTCCGAGCTGTTTTAGTTGTAACTTATTACTGTTAATGGTTGGAAATAATCCAAACTTTACTTCAGCTTTATTAAACTAACGAGACTTGTTATAAATCCTATATTGTTTTGTTGGGTTTTTGTGTGTAATATAACTCGGAGATTTTATTGTTATCCATAAAGGTTATTAACTCTGTCAAGTCATCCTTAATTTCTGTGATAGTGAGAAATGGTGACAGTTACAATTATTTTTCCATTAATCTGTTGGTTTAAATTATTTATTTATGCGTTAATACTTAGTAAAATTGCCAAAAGTTAATTTTTTGTTATTTATATAAAACTTTGTTGCAATGTCTGTCCTTTTGGAAACAATCTCTTTTGTGATCAACATATGAAAATCAGATTAGGATGAAACTGCTTGTGGGCATAATCATTTCAAACTTTTGATTCAACTGCATAATTCTTTATCATTTCTTTCCTACAGAGTAGGCACTGTTGCTGCCTTGTCTTTCAAACACAAGTCATTCCCCTGTTGGTAAAATTGCTAGTGTATAATTTATTTCCCTAAGCTATTGTAAGTTATTTTATATAAGGTAATATAGACATAGGTCAACAAACTGCACCTGTCATGTAACTTACATTTTTACTAATTGAGAATTTGCCGTGAAATGTTATGTGATATTATTTTTTGTAACTGGTTGTGAATTTTATCGATGGTTTATATGCATGTATGCTTGTGAGAAAAGAGTGACATGTCAGCGCTTTGTCAGTTTGTAAATTAAGGCTTTTAAAATGTCAGGGTGTAAAATTTACTCAAATCCATTATCCTGAACTTAATCCATGGGATGCACAAACTCATTGCATCTGATATACCTAATAGACCTTAGGCAGTGTATCAATTATTTTGTATAGAAATTGATTGTGGTGTCATGATGTTTGTTAAAAGAAGTTTTTATTAGATCAGTCCAAAATTGACATAGAAGAAATGTGAACTTGTGATGTCTTTCAATTCAATTTATGATGTGATTCTAATTTAAAAATTAGTGGATTGTTGAAATATTGATAGATTTAATAATATATTATTTATTTAGATAGTACTGGTGTGTATCTTCATTCTTATCACTTTCCATGTATACAGATTTATGTAGATTTGATCACATCAAATACTGTATACTCACAGGAGAAATAAACAAGACCAATTACAGTGTTTTCTGTACCATTGAAAAACTTCGGAAATAGTGAAATAATTAAGCTAGAGTGACTAAGAGATATTTTATTTACCTCTGTGAAGTAAAATGAATGAGTTATAGTGTAATTATTACTTGTCATCACGGTCTTTTTGAATTGGCTGAGACGGCCACTCTGACCTACCCATTATATTACTGTATAAACATGAAGTGTTTTTCAGTACTTCTACACAGATAAGTGTGTTGTGTAAAAAGACTATGCTAGGTTGACCCACAGTACATTATACACCATTGTATCATACATGAATAAGTTTATCTGACTTATGGATTTATGGATGGAAATAAGAATAAGCTAAATGGATTGATAATGTGTAATACCAGAGTATAACAAAGGAATAAGTAATAGCCCAGATCAATTCAAGCACTAAATGTAATGTGTATAGTGTGAAATAATACACAAGACATATATCTTGTTACTAGGTTCCATTGGTAAGATTCAGATAGGATGGGGCTTGGGACAGTGTCCTAGTTTTACTGACTTCAGGCACGGGACAGTGTCCTAGTCACTTCTGTTTTACTGTGAAGAACTCTAAACACTCTTCATAACTGTTTTTTTTTTTTTTTTTAATTTTTACTTTTTGTAAGTTTATCACCACACTGTTGGACCAATGTATTAACAACAGCCCTGTCCATTTTGCAGATGTACAATGAAAAATAAGCTTGAATATTGATGTTTTAAATTGTATCCTGGATCGAGATATATATGTGACAAGTAAAATCCTGCTGTTCAAATATCAGTTGTATCAGTATATACACTACACTAGTAATAACGTATCATATATCTAGTAACATGTTTACCTGTACAGAATTTAACAATACAAATGACAATTTTTAATATGGTGACATATGATGTTGATAAAATCATGATTAAATTCTTATTACAAATTCATAAATACATGAAACATATATTGGTCAGCAGAAGTTTTAAAAAACATTATGAAAATTAGAAATACTTTGAACTATTGAAAAATAGTTATTGTCATACAAAATGTTACCATAGTTATCCTTCAGTTAGCCAAGGGGACAAACATATTATTTCTGACTCAGTGCTAGGGGATGGGCAGGACAAGGAAATATGTTAAATATAAAATTTTACTGAACAGCAGTATGGGTGGGCTTATAACAGGACATAGGCTTATTGATAGATATGTACTCTGTTTATACATTTAATGTGTATTTTATATTTGTTATTGACATATTTTTTCAATAATTTTCAATTGAAAATAAAAAAAAAAAAAGGAAATGTTTAAAGCATATCAGGTATTGTTTTGTAGTGTAGGTGATTATGTATGCACGCTCCAGTATCACAATATAGAAAAAAACATTTTAAAACCTTCAGCAAACCGAGATAAGCTAGTTGGATCTACACAATATATATACTTGTTTTTCTGATAGATTTATTTGTTAGAATAGATAAGTTTGTGGTAAACCACTATCTAGATGATACTAAATGTTAAAAGTACAAGTTTGTAATCATTACATATTAGATAACATACTGACTACCGGGTTGTGATCAGTGGAACTTACTCAGCATGTGATAATATTGACAATATAATCATAACTGGGATCAACTGAGACAATGAATAAAGTATGAAAGTGTAAGAGAAATTGTTATTGTTATCTGTTTTAATGCTTTCCAACCAGTTTGGGAAATAACTTATTAACTGTAACAAAGTAGAGGCCCTCCAGAGTGATAGTCATCTTTCTCCACTGATAACAAACTGAAGTTTAATTGTTAGGGAATGTCTTCCTGACTCACCAGGTCTGAATCATTCTAGAGGCCTATTATACACTTCATAATCACATTGATTATCTGATAAAAAAGTATCATGTGTGTAGTTACATTTTTTTTACAATTATATAACTGCCATTTATTTGGCATGATACAAAAAATCACTGATAAGCTAATATTTACAACAATTGTTTTTATTTTCAATGGGCCATCCTCATGTAAAGCAGATCTATAGTAATTGTGAGAAGACTTGTCCTGATGAATCCGTATAGGTATAGTACTGTACTGATACAGGTAAACACTACCACACCTGTCCTGATACAGGTACACAGCACCACACCTGTCCTGATACATGTAAACAGTATCACACATGTCCTGATACAGGTACACAGCACCACACCTGTCCTGATACAGGTACAGAATACCACACCTGTCCTGCTACAGGTACACTATTCCACACCTGTCCTTATTCAGGTACACAGTACCACATCTGTCCATATACAGGTACACAGTTCCACACCTGTACTGATACAGGTACACAGTTTCACACCTGTACTGATACAGGTAAACAGTATCACACCTGTCCTGATACAGGTACACAGTACGACACCTGTACTGATACAGGTACACAGTACCACACCTGTGCTGATAGTGGTACACAGTACCACATCTGTCCTGCTACAGGTACACAGTACGACACCTGTCCTGCTACAGGTACACAGTTCCACACCTGTACTGATACAGGTACACAGTTCCACACCTGTACTGATACAGGTAAACCGTATCACACCTGTCCTGATACAGGTACACAGTACGACACCTGTCCTGCTACAGGTACACAGTTCCACACCTGTCCTGATACAGGTACACAGTACCACATCTGTCCATATACAGGTAAACAGTATCACACCTGTCCTGATACAGGTACATAGTACGACACCTGTCCTGCTACAGGTACACAGTACGACACCTGTCCTGATACAGGTACATAGTACCACACCTGTCCTGCTACAGGTACACAGTTCCACACCTGTACTGATACAGGTACACAGTACCACACCTGTACTGATACAGGTACACTGTACTACACCTGTACTGATAAAGATACTGACACACATCTGTGCCAACACAGCTATACATACCTACTAAAGTACTGATACAGGTACACATTACTAAACAAGTCACAGTACAACACACAAGTACTGATATCGGTACAGATGTCCTCCTGTTGTTTTGAATATATCTGTCATGAACAAATCATCTCTGTTTATAAATACTGGGGGCATCTAGGTTTGTTAAAAATACTGAAATTTATCCTCCAGATGCAAAAACATTAACAGTTCTCTTTCTGGGACAGTTTGGGCAATTCTTAAGTACTACTGTATTATTACATCTGAGGTTATAGGGGTCAAATATTTTAAAATCTTTGAGTGATTTCTTTATGTTCTAAGTTAGGAGATGG